CCCCAAAACCCCAAAACCCCAAAACCCCATGAAATTGATATTAATTTATAGGATAGCTTATGAAATCAAATGTATTTACAAGGACCTGAAATTAATGATTTATTCTTGATTTTCAATTTATCTTTAATAATGTTTTACTTTTAAATGCCTGCTTTCTCCTCAAAATTTGCATCATTATTTTCATTCCTTTGATCATTAGCCTTATTTTCATTCTTGGTCATCACTACTGCTTAAGACGTATTTTTACTTTTAGTTGTTGTTATTGTTTGATCTGGTTGATTTTGCGTCCTCTGTAAACTGCTTTCTTCCTACAGTCTTTAGCTTAGATTGCTTCTATTCTGGCTGAAATTATCTTCTATCTTTTTCCTCTCGCTATCTGAGTTGCTACTTTATATTCCTTCTCTAGCTTAATTCTAATTCTTCCTCAAAATCTTCCTCATTATCTTCTTTTATTTATGAGATTTATTACTTGAGCTATCTAGACTATTTCCTATCTGAATCTATGATATCAATGTTAACCTTCAAAAGGATTAGATATTGTTAAAAATTTATTAACTTACATCTTCAAGTTTGACTGATTGAATCTTCGAAAATTCATTAACCTCAAGTTTTTTTCTTTCTTCTTCAATTTGCTTCAATCTATCTTTTCTCATCTGGGTCATCTTTTCATTTTATTCAAAGTTGCTCTTCATCATTACAATCTATAATCATATTAGATATAAAATAACTATACTTTATCTTGCTATATCTTTTCCTCTCTTTCAAGAGCTTCCAATTCGTCTCTGAATAGGATAAGCTTTTCATTATATTTTTCATAATCAACAACTTTATTCGATTTATTTTCTCTGAATTTTTGATTGAGATTAGTTATAAGATTTTTGTTGATTTGCTATATTTTATCTATAAACGTCTCCTTGATGAATGGAAGAGATGCTGGTCCTCCACCTCCTTCTGTTGCTCCATACTTGAGTTTTTTAAAATAGCTATGTAAATCAGATTACAGTTAAGGTAAATTCTCTTCGTTGTAAGAATTTTTAATGCTGGCTAACTTATCCTCAATATTCTTAAAAGCTAATTTATCAGCTTGTGCTACAGACCTATTATTAAATTCAAAAGACATTTTATTTACTATAGAGATGCACTGAGATTTTTTTTCTTAGCCTCGTATAATTTGTCTTAAATAATCCTTTAAATCTCTTTCTTTTTAAGTTCAACATCTTATTTATCAATCTTATTATCAAGGAAATTCTCCTATGTGTCTAGCATAAAGATAGCATCATTAGCAATTTTCTGTAACAAATATTTTTAATTTAGATATATAATTTACATCTACTGTTACAAGCAAGTCTGAAATTTCTTGAGGATATGAAATTTTTTTGAATGAGTGTTCTATCAATTTTTAAGCTTTTTCAAATGCCCTCTATGTTTCCCTCTCCAATACATTATCCCATCTATATCAAGTTAATTAAGTCTATTTAATTATTACGCTGATGATATATTTGGCGCTGCTCCTTTATTCAATGCTTCAACATATTATTACAGTAGAGCGGCTAAAATTTTTCCATTTATACATTTATTATTCATTTATTTGGCAGGAGTCTCATAAAAGACCTTATGCTTTAGTATTGATGCCTTTGTTCTAAATTCTTTTCTATACTAATCCCAGCTAAGTGTATCTAATTTTACAAGTAGATCTTCTTCATCAACAGGCCTAACCAAAGTTATAAGTTCTCTCTACTAGAAATGCTTTAATAATGCTTCTCGAACCTTTTTATTTCTCTCGTTGGTACTCTTTGAGAAATTAGATAGCCTATTTTCAAGATATTCATTTTCTGTGATATCTCTGCCGTTTTCATGTAATTCTAATGCAAAATCTCTGAGAAGCCACAAAAATTTCGGTGTCGTAGATTATAAAATTTATTCCCCGTTTCCTGAAGATTTGACTTTGATAAAATTTGATAATTCTGCTGCCACCGAAAGACATGATATGGAATTCTCATCAATAGTTTGCATAGAGTTGAAAATGAAGAAACTACTCAAGAGCACAACCAAAGCAAAAATCTTAGAGTCATGAGTTTAATTCTTTTACAAAGATCCACTTCCCTCTGTGTCCAAAAGTATTATATGCATGTTTCTATTTTTAACAAATATTGGTTTTCCCCATATCCATATTCCTTGTGTGCAGCTCTTAGTAGAGGGACTTATCTTGAACTAAAGTATTAAATAATTTTTTATAGAAAAATACATACACCTTTTTGACCGTGCTAGTCTAAAAGTAGATTAAGGATGAAACTTTTTCCAGTTCTTTGGGCACCTGTCACTGCAACAATTCCAATATCAGTATCAATGGATCTTAATATTTTGAGACCTTCTTCACTAAGTTCAAATTTCTTTAGATCTTAAGAGATTTTTAAAAGTTGGATAGGAGAAGATTAAGTTATTTCTTGATCGCTAGGACTCTAAGGAAATTACTAAGAATTATAATTACTCTACTCTGTCTCTCCATCATTTTTACTTGATTAATTAAATTATTTAGCTTTTTGTTCTTCTTAGACTTCTTTAATTGATGACTAAATCATCTTAAATTAGGTGCTTTGAGCACTCTAGCTATTATTAGATGCTATTTTTTCAATATTTAGATTAGATTGATTAATTAAAGTACCTCTCTAATCTGGAAGTTTAAGATTTGCATTTCTATTACTATTTATGACTGTTTAACTTCTATCAGTTGAGGGAATTTAATTCTTTTTGTCTTGAGATTTTCCTTTTTATGTTAATGACTCTTGATAATGGATATTTTCATCCTCAAAATTAAACTTATCATCCATAGGCATATTTGTGAGTCTTTAATTGAATTACTATTCTATCTCTTATTAGTTCAACTTTATTGGATTTCTTATTTCTTGCTAGTATGTCATCCTTGGCATCTATTACTTATTTTTCTTGTCCATTTCTAACTTATTAATAATTTCATTATCCCAGTAGAATTTAATAATCAGGCAGATGGTGAAGCGTGTGATTGGATTTTTTCAAAATACTAAATTATCTGTGC